GGCCCTATGGGTTTAGCACTGTAACCGGCCAGTAATCCGAGATTACCGAAGGCCTGCTTAACAGTAATATAGTAAAACAAAGTACAGGGCCTAGCGGAAGCCAAAACAGTAAATAAACAATGTCCAATGAGCTGTGACAGTTTGACAAATTTTTCTTTTTATATATATAAGTAGTCAGTGTTACACTAACCCTTATATATATTTCTGTCTACCCGTGTCTATCTCTCACTGACTACTCTCTCTCTCTCAGATCCACCACGTAACCATAACTATGTTGCGAAACACAAACAGAAGCACACCCTCAAGTCATAATCAAATTTTCAGATCGATAGTGCAGTTGAGGAATGTAAGGGACAAATTGTGCATATTAGCTGCTAACATTTCCTCTAATGTAGGCTAGCACTCTTGTAGATTGTACTTTGGACATCTCTTACCTCATTATTGGGTTGAATGATGAGTTCTCCGATGAACTGGTAGATAGATCCAACTCGAAGATTGACATTTAAATGCTGGGTGTCAATTTTGAGGGAGGCATTTCCATCAATGATTACAGCAAGTGCAGTCTCTACAGAATAATCTTGCAGCCTAATGGGAACATAAGATGAGTAAACATTTTCAAATTGCAATAGAATTGGGCGATGCAATCTCTATCAACTTAGATATGGAACCCATTCATTGCATTCTACATAGCATTTCAAATGAGGCGTTATTTTCTTCTACTTTCTTTTTCCTTCTTATAAATAGCATTTAAACAAGCAGATTGAATTTCCTCCATCACCATTTGATTTCCATCTAGAATTGTTGCATATGACACATTTATCAAGATTGGCGTCCTCGTTTCGAAACAACATGCAACTGTTGGGACATGCATCCCACGTCTCATACGTGAAGCCCAAATCTGTTGTGACCTTTTGAGCTTTATAATATGAGTCCGGGAGTTTCACACCCAACGGGAACGCGTCATTCAATAACTCAAGCAATATGTCAACAGACTTGTCTGTCCATTGATTAAGCATCTTCAAATGTAGAAGTCGAACAATGAATGACAAAGATGTGAACTTCTGACAACTTGGATACAATTCACTTTGTGTATCTTGAAGAAGTTTGAAATACTTTGCAGTCTCTGCATTTGGACCGAGCTGGGGTTCAGATGCATGGGGATCAGGCCCCTGTGGTTCATTACCCTCAACACTTGTACCGAATTTCCCATAGCCCCTTGTATCATTCCAATCATATCATCCCCAATGTCTAAATTAGTTAATGTTTCATTCTCTCGATTACTATGCAGAGAAACATAAGATTCCCCATGATTAATCCAATGTTTGTATTTTTTTAAAAAACCATTCAAAATCAGATGCTCCCATACACCCTCTCGTACAAAATAGTATCGATTCTCACACTTCCTACACGGACAACTGATCATCGAACCTTTAACCGTATTGGTGTAGGCAAACACAAGGAATTCATCAATCCCATTAATGTATTCGCTCGACATCCTATTTGGCAAATCAATCCAACTCTTATCCGTCATCTGTACACATCCACAAAAATATCTCATCAAAGTAACTCTAAATATAATACCTACGTATTCATGTACCATGATACCTATCCGTCCAATTTCTCTCAAATAGGTAGGTGGTCTTATCCCAGTTAGTTATTTACCGATTTGATGGGAGAACATAAAAAATGAAATACTTATACAATAACACGTGAGATCAATTAATTGAATAAAAAATGATATAATTTCATACTTTCTGAGTCATAACTAAAAAAATAAATAAATCATAACCAAACACCACATGAGGCACAACCAAAGATCTTATAAGTCTTAACTAAAATAATATCATAATTAACGAAGATAATTCATCATAACTAAAGAAAAGAAAAATGACATAACTAATGATGCATATGGTAAATGGATGTGTATGGATTTTGCAAATATGTATATATATTTTTAGTCAATAATTAACTTTTAAATTACAACGTAACGAAGCCTGAGATTAGAAAAGTTGGGTAATTAGCTTTCTACCCTTTTAGTTTCTTACCATTGATGGGAAATGGCCACGTAATATTGCAAAAATATCACTACCAAAACCGATGTAGAAATGATACTTTTGAAATTAATGAGAAAAAAATGATCATTTTATTTCAAAGTTAAAAAGAAGTCAAACGTCAATAGGTATAGAATTATTGTGTAAATCAGTTATACAACATGGATATCATGAGTCATAACCCATTCCTTTTCATCCTTTTTTTTCCCATTCTTTTCTGTTAAGTGTCTGGTCCTTTCACAGCAAAACAAAAGTTATCACCATTATCACATTACCTTCTAAAGTGCCATTGTCATATCAATCTTGAATAATGGCACCTTCCAAAAGGGAAGTATTTTTCACCCACTAATTTATGTGGAAAGATCATTACAAGAACTGATAGAGCAAGGACATTTTCGAGTTTAAAACAAAAATGGTGGTCATTTCTTGTTTTAAAATATAGGGCAGAACTGCATACCATGTAGTAGCTACAATTTACGAACTATATGCAAATATTAGTTTTAATGCACTTCTATTCAATCCTAAAATACAAGCACAGAACTGCAAGGAACAAGATTGTGCTTCTAACCATTTCATCAAGATGCTATTTTTTATCTAGAAAATCAAAAAGTTGAACTTGAACTTGAACTTGAACAACCATATACTAAACAAAGTATTTCAAGGTTCAGGAGCTACATCACAAATCCAACTCCACATGATAAGTATCAAACACTAGATCCTTACTTAATGACCACAATCAAGTAAACCCAATACTGATCTTCAACAAAAAGTTGAAAATATATAGATATATATTCTATTAGCATGAATCAAAATAATATGAATAGAAACTGGCATATTACAAGTTGGGAGAAAAAGAAGAATATTTGAATCCAACAGAGGCTCACCCAACCTGTCATAAGATTCCAAGTTTCAAATTCTTTCCCCAGATTTGAAAACTTCAAATTTAAAGAGAAAAACTTTGAATTCTTTATTAGCTGTTAATAGATTTTTCATGTTTTGTTTTTATTTTCTCACTAATTTTCCATAACAGTCTATATAACTTTAGCGCAAAGTAAATTATAATTTTTCAGTTAAACCAGATAAATAGACAAACATCACTATAAAATCTACTTATCACCAACAAAATTTATAAATAAAATCTTCTTATCACTAATTTATAATTTTTTGCAATATTACTGATTTACACAATGTATAGATTGCCGAATATACATAACTTCATCTACAGATTTATTTATTTTACTTCATCTACAGATTTACGAATATACATTCATCTATATATATATATATATACAGAGAGAGAGAGAGAGAGAAAGAGAGAGAGAGCATACACAGAGACAGAGAGATTCGTCGCCGGACCAACCAGAGCCGTTGTCGTCGCCGCCGCACCGCCGCACCACCGCTAGAGAGAGCCGTTCGCCTTCGTAGCTCGTTTGAGGAATTTGGGGGAAAAAAAATGTTTCGAAGATTTAGGGATTTGGCTGAAATCATTGAGCGGCAAGATGAAAGGGAAGGGCGGGGGTAATTTTTTTTTTTAACTTTTTGCGACGGTTCATTTTACACCGTCGCCGATGGTTACTAATTACATCATAAAACGGCGCCGTTTTAATAAAGCCTTTGTTGCGACGGAAGTTTGCCGTCACAAATGTCCACAGTTTGCGACAACAAACATATGCCGTCTC